CAGAGCAGTGCCAGCAGGTGGGAGGCCAGCTAGTGCCGCGCGGACTACAGAGGAAGCACCATCTGTGGAGGAACTTTTGTCAGGCCTCGAGATTCGGGATGGTTTTCTGCAGGGAGAACTCGCGGAAAGGTACATCATTTGACCAGAAGCAGGGTCATTTATACTCTCTCTCTCTCTATCTATCTATATACTTATCTCTGCCCGTCTCTGTCTATCTATCTACCTCTATCTCTATCTATTTATTTATCTATCTATCTATCTATCTGTCTACTACTCTGTCTATCTACCTCTCTCTCTCATCTCATCTTCGTCTCTTCTCTCTCTCTCTTCTCTCTAGTCTCTCTCTCTCTCTCTCTCTCTCTCTCTCTCTCTCTCTCTCTTTCTCTCTTCTCTTTTTTTTTTATCTCTCTCCCTCCTCTTCATTCTCCCCTCTTCCTCCCATCCTCCCCCTCCTCCTCCTCTCTCTCTCCTCCCTCCCTCCCTTCCCTTTCCTCAGCCCCGCTTACCGTTCCTTCCTTCCTTCCTTCCTGTCCTTCCTTCCTCCTTCCTTGTGCCGGCTCTGTCCTGGGCTTCCTAGTCCTTTTCCTTCCCTTCTATCCTTCCTATATGGCGCGGTCCGGTCATTTGTGCGGTTGGGTCCTATCAAGTCGCTCCCCTTCCTCCCTCTCTCCCGTCTCTTTTTTTATACATATGATGTGAAGATAAAATTCATAGTATGAATGTTGTGGTGGGGTGTTGTGTGGTGGTAAAATCGTATGTATATATGTGTGCTTGGTATGTATAGTATGTTATAGTGTGTGTGTGTGTGTGTGTTGTGTGGTGGTGTGGTGGTGTGTGTTGGTAGGGGTGGTGGGGTAGTGAGTATGAGGGATGGGGCGTGATAATATATAGTAGGTATAGGTGATGAGGGTGAGAGGGGATATGTGGGGTAGTATATATATTATATATATAGTGCCTGGTGGTACAGTGTAATATAGTGTGGGGGGTCGGGGGCGTGGGGTATTGGGTGTAAGGGTGATTCGTGATATATAATATATATCATAATATAGTATGTACGATATATATAGTGGGTGGTTTGTGTGGCGTGTGGTGGTGCTGTGTGGTGTGTGGATGTGGTGTGGCTGGGTGGGTGGGGGTGTGTGTGTGTGTGTATATATTACTAGTATATATATATTAATATACGATATATATATAATAATGGTATGTAGGTGGAGTGGAGTGGTGGAACACTAGCTGAAGTGGATGGTGTGTTGTATGGATATAATGATAGGTCTTGGTGGGGTAGAATGGGTGAAGTCATGTGTGGTGTATGATATATGCATGTTTGTGTATCATCTCGGGTGGGAGTGCAGGCGGGTCGCGCTTCCTCTTGGTCTTTAGAGGTCTCGTTCCTCTCTCTGCTCTCTCATCTCTAACCGATGCTCGATTCTCTCTAGTACTATGCTAGCTTCATCCTCTTCTCTCATTCCTCTGTCTCGTCTCCTCTCTCTCTCCTCTCTTCTCTTTCTCCTTTTCCTCTCTCATCTCTCTACTCGTCTCGTTATCCTCTTTTCTCTCTCTCTCTCTCTCTCTCCCCTGTACTCTCCTCATCTCTCGACCCGGCTACGTAACAGTCTCAGCCTCTCGCCTTCCGGGATGAGCAGAGTGGAGGCGAGATGAGTGAGGAGTGAGCGTGAGAGAGGGGGTTGAGGAAGTGCCGCGGTGCGAGGAGCGGAGGGTGGTGAGGAGCGCAGAAGTCGGGATGAGGTTGGCGGAGATGGGAAGGGAGCTCGCTCTGCGGTGTGCGGGGTCTCAGATCGGCTCCTCCCTCTGGGACTCATCTCTCTCCGTAGCTGGGTCACCGTCTGTCGTATCTCCGTCACCCGAAGTCAAAAATAAATATCACACCACTCACAATCAACAAGTCAAACAAATCTACCTCGCGAGTCGTCCTTCCTCTCTGCCCGCATCAATCATCCTCAATCTCCCATCATCAACTCTACGCCCTCCTCGTCTCCCCACTCCCTCTCCTCGTCATCGCCTCCCTCTCTCTCGTCTGTCCGCTTCTCGGGTCCCTACTCCCCTCTGCTACTAACCCTCCATCCTTCTCTTCTCGTCACCTCGAGGTCTCGAGCCTCCGTTCCCCGTCAGTCCGTCTCGGTCGCTTCGTCATCATACGCTCTCTTTCCGTCCCATCTCGAGATCGATCTCGCGTCATGTCTCTCGAACTGGCAGAGTCAATCTCAACGGACGCCGTTGATCTTCATCTCTCTCTACTCTCTCTCTCGTCTCTCATCTATCGTTCTTTCTCTCGTCTCTCTCGTCTCTCTCCTTCGTCTCGCTCTCTTCTCGTCTCATCATCTCCTCATCTCTTCTCTTCACTCTATCTCTCTTCCCATCTCATCCTCTTCTCCCTCTCTACTCCATCTCTCGCGGTCTGTGTTCCCTTCTTTTCTCACTCATCATCATTTCCTCGTCTGTCTTTATAATAAAGCATGTTAAATTGATATATAATATATATAGTAGTAGTTATTAGTTATATTATTAGTATATATATGATATCATATATATAATTATATTCTGATTTATTTAAGTTTCATTTAGCGACACGCACAGCCAGCTTTTTGTGTGTGTGTGTGTGCTGTGTGTGTGCTGTGTTGGTATTCATATGTATATATATATATATTATATATATTATATATATATATATATATTATATGTTATGTATGTGTATATATGTGTGTATATTTATATATATCATATATATGTATTATATATATAATTTATATAATTATATATATATATATTTATGTATGTATGTGTGTGTGTGTGTGTGTGTGTGTGTGTGTGTGTGTGTGTGTGTGTGTGTGTGTGTGTGTGTGTTGTGTGTCTGTGCACACATATATATGTATACATATATATGTATATATATGTATATATGTATATATATATATATATACATACATAACTTACATATACATTATATATATATATATTATATATATATATATATATATTATATATGTGTGTGTACATATATTCATATTTATTTATTTATCTATTTATTTATACACAGATAGATAGATAGACACACATATTTGCGTGAGTGTACGTACTTGTTTACATCTTCATGAGCGCGAGCACGGAAACAGCACAAGGCGTCCCTCCTGGCCTGTGTGCGTACGAGTGCGAGCGTGATTGCGAGCGCGAGGTGCGAGCAGTGCAAGGGCGCCGTCGCACCTCGTGAATGCCGGGCGAAAGCGTTACCCAAGACGAGTGACGACACTGCTGGTGGCACTGGCAAGTGAGGTGAAAGTGTTGCCTGCACCCGGGCCGACGGCGCCTCGCAGCCTGCTCCCCTGTCTGTTTCCATTAGCACATGCTAGTCTGTTTGTCTGCCTGGCTGTTTGGCTGCGCATTTGTTTGTCTGCCTCCCCTGCATGTGTGTCTGTCTGTCTGATAGGTTCGTATGCCTGCCTGGCCATCTGTCGGCGTGCGTGTCTCGGCCGAATGACAGTGGCTGTCTGTCTGCCCGTGTGCCGTCTGCCAAGCTGATTTCCATAACAGCAGAGCCGCATTACCCTCGTGTGCCGAAGTGTGTTAGGGCGGGGCAGGGCGAGGCTGAGCGAGGCAGCCGAGGGACGCCGCTGGTCAATATATAAAGCCCTTAGAAAACGCCCGTCGAGGTTCATTGGTAATCCGGAGCGGGCGGGTTGGCTGTCGGCGAGGAGAGGCACACATCCAGCGTCATAATGACCACGCCAATGCCAATGTCAATAGATGCACGGCTGTGGTCACTGCCTCCCTGCCTGTCCCTCCCTACCCTCCCCTAACCCCTTGTCCCTGTTACCCCCCCCCCCCCTCCTCCTTAAGCCGCGACGCCTCGGCCATTTTTAGCAAGGTCGCCCACAGACATGTAGCGAATAAGGTCACCGCTGAAAGGTACCCTCTGGGAGGCGGACATAGTGGCTACGTTGCGGGACTGAACCGTGCGCTACTGCTGGGTCACGGAGCCCCGAGTCTGGCGACGTGTGGCACTCCCTGAAGGAGGAGGAGGAGGAGGAGGAGGGGGGAGGGGAGGGGTAAGAGGAGTGGAAGGGGAAGGGAAGGAGAAGGGTGGGGTGCGGGAGGGGTAGGGGTGGGGTTAAGTGCAACAGCTATCCGTACGCGGGAGGAGAGAGTTGGGAGGAGGGGGAGGAGAGAGAGAGGGAGAGAGGGAGAGAGCTTGGCAAGAGATATGCGAGAGAACATAACGCGAGATGGTTAAAATGGTGCCGTCGGGACTGACTAGGGCGGGGAAGGAGAAAATGAAAGCCTGTTTTGCCTTTTTATGTCTATCTTTCTTGGACTTTTATTCCCCTTGATTGTCTACTTTTTATCGGAAATTATTTTGTTTCATTCAGCTAAAACAAATTACAAAATCAAGGAATAAATATTCTCAGATTGCAAAAAAAAGGAAAAGAAAAAACTGTGTTAATCACCTGTTAACGGCAAGAGCTGTCGCGAAGAAAAAACATCGTTAGTGAAGTCTAAATACAGAAATATATAAATAACTGAAAAACAAAACGAACAGAAAAAGAAACGTGACGAAAAATAGATAAAAATAAAGATTGAAGATCCGAAAAGTAGGTTACCAGCGGTACCATTAATTATTAATTCTCTCTCTCTTAGTATAACAATTCTCAATTGAACTTTTGTCTTCTCACTAGTAAAATTAGTAATGATATATCAAAAATATACATATATACGGAGAGATTCATAATGATGGTGATTAGAGTAGCAGTAAGAAGCAAAAGATGAGAAAGATAAGAATGATGATGGTGATATTAGTAATGTCGGAGTAGTATTGAAAGTAGCATCATAATCGTGACTGTGTTGATGATGTTCATTGTATTATCCGTTATTTTTTTCTTTATTATATTTTGTATTGACGATGTTGGTTGTAAAATGGCAATGATTAAGGTGATGTGATACAGTGACAACAACGTTATTATTCTAATTATTATCATTTTTCTTATTCTTCTTCTTATTATTATTACTATTATTATTATTATTATTATTATTATTATTATTATTATTATTATTATTATTATCACTATCAGTTCGGTATGGCTGTCTCTGTTATTACCATTATTTTTATAATCATTGCTGAATTGACAACAGCTGTACGGAGAGGAGAAAACCAAAAATCATTAGCAATTACATGACTCTGGCGCCGAAAACATAACTGTATCGGTGATCTATTGACAGTAGAAATGGCAGATGATGATATTGCCAACCGTAATGGTATGTGCTTGTGTTGAGAGGGATGGCCAGGATGGAAACGATGTTAATGAAGGTGGTGATGATACTGTTAATGTGACGGTAGTAATACAGCCGGAAATAGAAATGAATATTGGTAACACACACACACACGCACACACACACAACACACACACACACACGTACACACACGTACACACACACACACACACACACACACACACACACACACACACACACACACACACACACACACACACAACACACACACACACACACACACACACGTACACACATACATATATATATGTATAATGTTAATGGCGATGATGGTAACTACAGTTCTAATTCTAGTTCCAAGTGTGTTTGTGCGAGCGTGTGTTTGTCTGTATGTGTGTGTGTGTGTGCTCACTAATTAGATAGACACTCATAATGATCCTCAAAGCAATTAACCTGAACGCATATAACAGCAATTACTCACATAGCAACATTTATTCGGAACACCCTCTTAAGAAAATCAATAATCTTCGAAATGGCCAGATTTTCGGCCTTATTTATATATGGAATAGAATCCCTTTTAGCGGAAAATGTGCCTAATGTCTTCTTATCTTGGTCTGTACAAGAACTGTGAATTATCACGTTTGTAGTTGACGTGATTGCCCTTATCAGTGCGTTATCTAAAGGTGAAGGAGATCTTTTCGTGAGATTTGGCTTATTAATAAACAAAGGAAATTTCAGGGACTATTTCCAAGCGGAGATTTTTTTGTTGTTAAAAAGAAAATTGGAATATGATTTGGTGATTGGAAATTCTGTCTGTCTGTCTGTCTCTCTCTCTCTCTCTCTCTCTCTCTCTCTCTCTCTCTCTCTCTCTCTCTCTCTCTCTCTCTCTCTCTCTCTCTCTCTCTCTCTCTCTCTTCCTTCCTATCTCTCCCCCTCTCCCTCCTCTCCCTCCTTCCTCTCTCTCTCCTCTCTCTCTCTCTCCTCTCTCTTCTCTCTCTCTTCTCTCTCTCTCTCTCTCTCTCTCTCTCTCTCTCTCTCTCTCTCTCTCTCTCACTCTCTCCCCTCCCTCCCTCCCTCCTCTCTCTCCCTCCCCCTCTCCCTCTCCCTCTCCCTCTCCCTCTCCCTCCCCATCTCATCGCTTCTCCCTCCCTTCCACCAAAATACATATACAACAGTTCATATAGGCAACAATCATCAGGTAATTGTGTTGTCATTGCATACACATCCACAGTAGAACTTATCATTTGACCCACATAAATAATGCAGGAATGTAGTTCTGACGTAAGGTATGTGGAACAGCCTCCCTTCGCGCGGCAAAGCCATTCAAGACACTCCTCGCCCCAGTTATCATCCCTCAGGACTCAACTCCACTAGTAAATGACGCGCCGTTATTCAAATCTGTATGTACAAAAAGCAAAAACAAAAAACAAAACAGGAGACTGGGAATACTCTTATTTTCATAGTTCATGAGTGTCTCTGCCAGGTGATGATTGCGGACACTTGTTTATTTTGTTCGGTAAAGTGTTTCGGTGGAAGGAGCGTTTTCTCCCCGTCGTAAACGAGAAGGCATTTCAACCATTTTCTTTTTCGTGTTCATTTCCCATTAGTCTTTAAGATAGTTTTAAAAGATATATAAATTCCTTTCATATTCTATTTTATTTTTTCTTTCCGTCTGTTACCAATTTTCTTTTTTATCAATCGTGTTTTATTTTCTTCCATTTTCATTTTCTTTTTCCTTGCCCCGCGGTCGCTTTGGCGCTTCAAGATTCGAATCTGTTTTCCCACAATGCCCGGTGTTGATCGTGACGTCACAGTGCAGAGGGAGAACTTGCCGCCATACTGAGTGTAATTGTGAGAATTCTTTTGAATCCCATGCCATCCGTGCGATTTCTCGATGTTGAACGCTAAATACATGACATCTTACCACCTTCAATTTCCGAAAAGTGCTTGCGAGGGAGGAGAGTGTCGGGATGGCCGGTAAGTACGGAGGAGAATAGACGCGAAGTGGACGAAGCCGATTCTCTTTTTTCTCGCTGAAGGGAGTGAAGTGTCGCCGGTGTTAAGAGTTTGAATAAGAGTTTCGCCGGCCAACCTAGGCAAGTGTGGCGGCGACCTCCACGCACGCCCACGACAGTAACTCCATGATGTCTGATTTTGCAGGCAATGGGGAGATCCAATGGTGCTTCTCTCAAGTCAAGGGAACTCTCGACGACGATGTTAGTGAAGGTAAGAATATCATGTTCGTTTTTTTCTCCTGTCTTGTTCTTTCTTCACCTTCCCTTCCTCTCTTTCCCATCCATTGTTCTCTAGTCAGACCCCGCCGCCTTTCTTTTTCTCCTCTCTCTCTCGCCCCTGCTTCATTGCCGCCTCTCACTCTCGTCGCCCTTCGTAGTATTAACCTACATTTTTTTTTGTCTGTGTACTCGTAGTGTACTCTTACGTATACTTCTGTGTATTTACTCTCACATCCCCAGTAGCCACGTTAGATATGAGAATTATTATTAATCGTAGTGCAAATACTACTACTTCACACTTACTTGTAAGTGTACTGCCCCTCTTACTCTCGTAGGAGCAAGAGGTTGATAAACTCAGAGGAGGGAGTAGCACCTCGGGGCCGTCTCGGGGCTGCCACTTGGCATTGCATCATCCCTGGGCTCCCTTTCCCCACTCCCTGGGGAAGGAATGGGGCAGGTCCCCCCATGGGAAAGGAGGGCTTTTCTGAAGGGGCTGTGGGCTTCCTCTGTCTCTCCTGCAGTGGGATTAGGTTTGGTTTTGCACTTGTTTCTCTCCTCTGCTTTTGGTGGAAAGGGCATGAGAATAGGTAGTTTGGCATTCGGGGCAGATAGGCAGAACACTCACCTAGGTAGGAGGTCTTTGCACCCTCCCTAGTTTAAGGTGTCGAGTGAGTATGGTTTCCCCTCCTAATAGGTGAATATTAATTTGTTAAGGACACAAATTTGTTTTTATTTTTCATTTCCTTTTTTAGGGGGGTGGGATTGATAAAATCTTGGCAAGACTGCCAGGAGGTAAGTCAGATAATTCTGATATCTTCTTTTACCTTATGCTAATAGGATGCCTGATATAAGTTATGCAGATTTAGGGTGGCAAGTTTCATGTATGTGTATACACAAGGAATGTGCATTTCATTTAGATAATCATTACAAGACACCCACATGGCTGCCACAAGCTGAAGCTACTCACTTTTATTAGCCTCCACACCTTTTTCGCTCTGTCAATGACCATTAATCTCCACCACATTCATTCTGGGTGAAACCATTCTTACAGATTTGTTAGCAATTATTTATTGAATAAGAATTTATTCCAGGCCCTCGGAACGGAATATATTTGGTGGATGTCTGTAGTTCTTTCCTAACTGTTCAAAGTACATGGAAGTTTCTTGCCACTATTGTATTTCTCGTAAGACAGTTTCAGGTTGATCTAGTTGGAATGCAGCTAATATAATTGCAAGAGAAAAGACGGATTTTGAAAACTTTGGATGCCTTGGATACATTTACCTTTCATTTTGTTTAAGAATTTATTTATAGATTTTTTGTAATTTGTGATTGAAAAGTGCCAAATCATCTCCTGGATTACTTGATACAAAATTTTGCATCTCTTTTAAGAAAATCAGGTACAGATTCAGAAAATAAGTAAATTGCAAACAATTTGTAGTAGTATCCCAGATCTGGAGGGAATGCATTTTAAAACCTAATGTGGGTGGCCAAAGCTTAGATTATAATATACAAAAGCTATTTAATTTTTTTCCTATTCCTGTTGTTGCTTACCCAATCTGTGACCATTAAATGCCTTGGTAGTTCTTGATGAGTCCAAAATACCTAATTTTCAGGGAAAAATATGATATAAGGAATATATATATATATATATATATATATATATATATATATATATATATATATACTTGTTTAAATGTTTATTGATTTTGGTTGGTAAAATGCTGAATATAAACCATTTAATATGTGATATTCCTGGTAATAGAGAAGGGCTTAAAGTATGAGAGAGAAATTATAGGGTGAGAACAGTTTAATTAAAATCAGTACTGGGTACTTGTTACCGAGAGAGAAGCACCCTCCAAAGACGAAATCCCAAAACTTGGGTATCACATGAATCCAACAAACCAAACCTAACCTTTCTTACATTCTGTATATTCAGAAGAAAGGGAGGGCAATATCCCCCTATATCCCATTTTTATTAGCACTTAATGCAACTTATAGAAAATGCAACATCTCGTCGTTAAAAACTCTGGCTGTGTGAGGGTGAGATATTCTAACCATTTTAAGGAAATATGATGCCGCAGCAGCTGTGCCTGTGTTACTTATGACTCTATTGCGTATGTTCAATAAGTTAGCAGTATCCATTTCCCCCTATCTCTGTGTGCCTCTCTCTCTCTCTCTAACTTTAACTCAGTACTGAATATTAAGCCCTACATATGTCTGTCACCAGTTAAAGTGTAGACTTAAATATGAATTTATGGAGAGAAGAAATGCACAGAAGAGCTATTATACACACTATGGAAATGTACCAAGTAAAACCCCCAAAATGGAGATTCTGTTACTATTACCAACTGTTAGTTTAACCTGAAACGGCTTTAAATTAGAAACTAAGCAATACCCTTTGCATAAATTAGATGTTGATTTTTCTCTCACTACAAATTTTTGTGAAAGCCTTGTTACTTGTGTACAAGAATTCTGAAATTACACGTGGATCTCCCTTTTTTGAGTTCCATTTATGGTAGTCTAATACACAGTACAATTTTTTGTCACAGTCATTATATTGCAAAATAACCCAATAACGATAGGTAAAAAAATGTGGCAAGTTGATGTGTTTATGCGGTTATTGGCACATATCAAGAGTTTCCCCTATTTGTGCCTGGTTTATTTGGTAGTTTGAGAGCAACACTAGGAACCAAAAAGCTTATATTTTAATGCTATTTTTTTAAATATACATTTTTTTAGACTTACTTTCACTTTAGGTGCTTTTGCCTAAAAGTTTTACCATGCTGCTACTGTCGGAGAAAAACAAGCTCTGACAGATGAATGGTCGTGTTTGATGCCACCTGCTACTTTGTCCACAACAGCCATGACATGTATGTACATGTCACTCAGCGGGAAATAATTAAAAATTGGTTCGTAACCAATATCTTATAATATCAAAGAATAGATTTTAGATACAACAGCAATAATATATGGAAGAGACTAGCAAATACGTAGAATATTTTTTCAAGTGTGGGCATAAAAATGTAGGTCTTGAATATCTTAAAAGAAATTTAAGATAGACTGAAATAGAAATAAAATCATTAGGACAGTTTTATGCGAGGAATACATATTTATATACTTATGCAGACTCATTGACACATTGCTTAGTCAATAAAGAGTACTGAAATACTGAGGCAATAGATACATACCCCAAGATGGATAGAGGCCAACTGTGGGAGAGCATATGTAGTGTGACAGAGGCAAAAGTCATGTATTAACCCACTGGATATGGGAGCCTAGTGGCTTGCATGTTGATCAAAATCTGGGCAGTAGGCTTACTTGAGTGGCAACTCTCTTGGGTGTGGCTTATAGGCCCTGCCCACACCAACACTCATGTGTAGTATCAAAACTCTATGCCTTTTCTTTGCTATGCATAAGCGTTTTTTGCTGTTTTGCCTTTTCCTGAGCTCTATATTTGTCATTTGTTACACTATCAAGACGTTAGTAAGCTTTTTATTGAGTAGGTTCCATGTTATCTCTCTAGGTAGTCTGCAACTCTCTTCATTAACTATGAAAATAAGTAACATTGTTATTTGTGTAATTTAAGATTTTTTTATTTTTTTATTATTTTTTTTTTTTATTCAATTTTCTGTAACACCCTGCACTGCCAGTCTTGGTGGTAAGGAATAGGATCCTGAGCAGGGAAATTGTCCAATTGTGAACAAAGGTGGAATGGTACATTCCACCTTTGTTCACTGGTGGAAATAATCCAAGAGCCCCATCTTAAATACCCACTGTGTCTAATCTTCATTCAAACACTTTGTATACTCATGACGAGACATTCCTCTCACTTGCTACTCAGCAACAAAATATCTCGATAAGTCATTCCTGTCAGCCGGCCCACAACCAAAATAGGCCCTTGGCCAAATTTTTTCATCGCTTGAAGGTCATGTCACACAGATCTAATGGGTTAAGTGTAACATGGTGGAAAGGCTATGCAGTGGTACAAAATTGGGAACTTGTGAACCATGCAAGCCTTGTGCTTCATTTTTTTTACTAGCCTAGTGGTCTAGTAAATTGGGTTTTTTACTAACCCCAATATTGACTTTAACACAAGATTAATCAAACACTGATATACGTGGCTTGACGATGAAATGTGTTGCATGCCCGGCGTGCCACTGTCTACTTTTTACTAGTCCACTGGGCTAGCTAAGTAACGCATTTTGCTAGCCTGCGGCTGGTTTTGCTAGAGAATGACTGTCGGGCTAGTGCTAAGGTTAAGCCCTGCCATGCACTTCAAGAATTTTTCACTCTGCATTTTTGAACTTTAGTTAAACTGTGGACAAATGAAACTCCATTTATATTAGCAGATGCATAGGTTCAACTACTAATTCTATGCAAATGTAGTACAGCATGTAGTCTTCAGTTCTATAGAAGTTGGATGGATGGACTTAGCAAGAGCTAGTTATTGCTTTCATATATTAACCTTGCCCAAAGAAAAATCTGTGAAAAGAATAATAATTCCCTGATAATCATACAAGTTGCTCCTTATCTGGATAGGACAGGAAATACACAACTAAGCTTGATTGATAAAGAAAATTTACATGAATGATTAGTATGTCCACATTAAATCCTTAATTCCTTAAAATCCAAGAGTAGACAAAATATCTGATCTTGTGTTGAATAGACCTATAATGAATAGAGAAAGTATACTAAATGCCTAGGATCATGAGTAATAGCAAAATCAATCAATTGAAATATCATTTACATACATGAGAAATTATCACCAGAGAATGTGGTATTTTCCAAGGTAACACTATTGTATGGAATGTAAAGAATGTATGTGGCACACAGAGAGCTTTAATGAAATTGTGCTTAAATGACTTTTAAACATGTATCAGCAGAAGTTGACTCGTCATGGAAAGCAAATATTCTATTTTACAGCTATGTAAACAGAAAGCACCCTTTTTAAAGGTATTCAAAATATCAAAATAAGGAACAGGAGTATCATGATGATCACTATACTGCAATGTTGAGATGGTTTGG